ATGGCAGCATAATAACATATTAGGAGTTTGGATTCCTTATGATCTTGGAGCTTCTGTAGCAGCCCTGGACTGCTTATCCATGAACTTCATTTACATGAAAGGGAAATGAACTTCTATATTGTTTTAACCACCGTTAATGGGTTTCTGTCACTTGCAGCTAAACCTAATCCTTGTGTTCCAATTCCTTGAACCTTCCCACTGTGCGTAAGAAGGATTTCTCATCTCATCTGTGGTGGTCCATCTAGTTTCTGTCCTCTGGGCAGTGGCCTTCTTCATCATTCTCGGCTCCCTAAGCATGTGTTTGAGTCCCCGTCAGTGACCTATAAGTGCACTCTCTCAACCCCACTCTGTACTTCTCCTTCACTGCCCCTCTCTGGTTGCATCCTAGAAGACTGAACTAGGGCCCAGCAGAGGAAGAGGCTGCACAAAGTAGAATTAATTCAGGAGCACCGACTCAAGGGGGCACACTCCCTGAAAAGTCACGTCTGACCAAACGCAGGATCCCTCCTTGCTCTGCCCTACCGCCTCACTTCACTTTGTGCCACAAATTTCTTCCATTAGAGCCATTTGAGTTTAAAAGACACATTAGAAATACAAGTAGCCCTGGAGGAGAATGGCCTATTTTCCATTTGCAGTTTACTGCCAATTAGTTTAATCCAATTTCTTTTTTAATTCGTTCTTCCATTAAACATTCATGAAGAGTCTGTTTTATATCCTTTTTAAAAAAGATTTTATTTATTTATTTTGAGAGAGAGAGCATGCGTGTGCCAGCCAGGGGAGAGGCAGAGGGAAAGGGAGAGAGGATCTCAAGCAGACTACATGCTGATCAGGGAGGGGAAGCAGGGGCTCAATCCCACCACCCTGAGATCAGGACCTGGGCTGCAATCAGGAGTCCGAAGCATAACGTGCAGAGCCATGCAGGTGCCCAAGACTATTATCCTAAGAGATGGATAATTTATTATTTGACTGTGCTGGAGATCAGAAGTCTCACACGGTTCTCACTGAACTAAAATCAACGTGTCAACAAAGCTGGGTTCCTTTGTGGAGATTTGGGGAGAATAATTTCCATACCTATTCTGCTTCTAGAGGCTATGGGAATTCTTTGGCTCGGCTCCCCTTCCTCCATCTTTAAAGCCAACAACGGGGTGGAGGGCAGGGACATTCCCCATTGCATGTTTCTGACCACATGGGAAAAAAGTTTTCTGGGCTTTATGTTCGCAGTCTCAGGCAATTAGATCACCGCCCTCAGCCCCCTTCCCCGTATTAATCAAAGGTAACAGCCCCACCTCAAGGTCTGTAACTTCAATCACATCTGCAAAGTCGCTTTTGCCATGTAAGGTAACACATTTACCGGTTTCAGGACTAGACCATGGATTTCTTTGGGGGGTCTTTATTCTGCCCCCAAATCCTTAAATTTACAAGCCCCAAAGCCACTGCCCACGGCCAAATTTCTTAAAAATCCTTTTTCCTCCCCCACCCACTTCCAAAGCTGCAACGGCTTTTGCGTGTCCCTCCTCAATACTCCCCCGCAAAACTCCGTCACAGGCCTAGCCCTGAGCTGCCTCCTTTATCCCCGCGCCCCCTGCCTCCCGGACCTGGGAAGGGGGGGTGGGGACGCCGGAGCAGCAGAGCTGTCTGCGAGCGGGAGAGCCCCCGAGGGGTGGGGCGCAGCTACCTGGGGCGACCTCTGCCCCGCGTCCCCCCTGCCCCACTGATGGCCAGGCACACGGGTCCCCCACTTCTGTCTCCTCCTAGACCTCGTCCCTCGCAGCGCCACTGGCTGTGACGACCTCGACCCGCGGCGGGGACACCAGGAACTCTCCACGTCCGAGGCCGAGCCCACCCTCCGGAACCCCGGAAGGGCGCTCTGCCTCCACCCCTCCTCCTCCTCCTCCTCCCGCCTCCGCCTCTCCCCCTCGCCCACCCCCACCCCCGCTCCACCTCCTCGCGGGCCGCCCTCTCCAGCCCCCGCCCATCCGCCGCGCCCCGGGCCGCCGGTCGCCAAGGTGCAGGGCGCACGCGGGAGGCCGGCCGGCGAGGGACGCGGGGACCCGACGCCCGAGTGAGTGCGCGGCGCTGGCCGGCGACGAGGCTGCGGGGTGGGTGGCCAGAGTTCTCCCCGGGAGGTACGGCATTGTTGCGTGCGGCGGCGGTCCCGGAGGAGGGAGCGAACAGCAGCCGCTCCTTGCCCACCCTCTCCCTCTCCCCCGGGACTCCGAGAAGGCAGGGCCCTCCCACCCCTTCTCTCTGCCCCGCCGTCCTCCCCTCACCGTCCCCAGCTCTCAGAGAGTCACAGTTAGCAGAGGGTGGGGCACCTGCTCCTTAGGCCTCCACGAAATAATCAGTGAGCCAGCCAGGCAATGCTGGCCTTGAGCATTGCCTTGAGCGCCTAGGTAGCTGCTGGCCCGGGCCACACATTACTGTATATGGAATGACAAAGAAATGCTCATGATAAAATATGAAGTGAAAAGCTCAAGATTGAAGAGGGTCTTAAGAGAGTATTTATAGAACCTTACCCGTGTAGTTTGTGCTCCTGTAAATACCCAGAAAAGGCTCGTGAGAAATACCAGTAATATTACATAGTACCACTCTTAGCTTGGACTGCCTTAACAAAACACCATAGACTGGTGACCTAAACAACAGAGATCCATTTCTTACCGTCTGGAGACTGGGAAATCCAAGAGCAAGGTGCCAGTAAGCTAGGTTTGGAGCGTTTCCTCTTGGCTTGGAGGTGGCAGCCATTCTCAAGAGACAAAATAAGCTCTCTGGTGTCTCTTCTTCTTTTTTTAAAGATTTTATTTATTTATTTATTTATTTATTTATTTATTTAGAGAAAGTGTGTGAGTAGGGGTAGGGGCAGAGGGAGAGAATGACAAGCAGACTCCCAAGCTGAGCGTGGAGCCTGATTTGGGGCTGGATCTCATGACCCTGAGATCATGATTTGAGATCATGATACGAGGTCATGACCTGAGGTGAAATCAAGAGTCGGTTGCCCAACCCACTGAGCCACCCAGGAGCCCCACTCTGTGTCTCTTCTTATCAGGGCACTGATCCCATGGTGGGAGACCTGCCTTCATGACCTCATCTAACCCTGATCACCTCCCAAAGGCCCCATCTACAAATACCATCACACGGGGGTTGGGCTTCAACAAAAGAATGTGGGGGGAGGGGGAGATGAAAACATAGAGTCTGTAGCAATACCTTCTAGGTGCTCCTTTAGAGTGGTTAAGAATTTGGGCTGTAGAGCCAGGCTGCCCGAATTTGAATCCCAGCTGCACCTGTTACCAGTGTTTGCCCTTAGGCAAATCACTTCCCTCACTAGGCCTCAGCTTCCCCACCTGAGCATTCATTCTGTTCCAGGCTCTGTTCCAAGTATCCATCAGGTACTAATTCATTATTCCTCATAACAATTCTTTATCATCATCGTCATCCATCATCATCCCCATGTTACTGAGGAAAAAACTTTACATTTAATTGGCATTCAATTCTCACAAATACCAAAGAGGTTATAGTCCCACCATTTTTACAGATGAAGAAAACAGGGTTCGGGGAAATGAAGTTGATTACCCACGGTCAGTCTACTAATAATTGACAGACACAGCATTCAAACTGGTTCCTCTTGAAACAAGGTCTCTTAATAATTCCCATAAACCTTTGTCTCTGTGAACCCAGTTCAGAGACCCAACTATTACCTTAGGTTATTGTAACCAAACCAGTGTGGGTTTTTAGCTCCTTGGTGAGTCACAGTTACACCAGGTGGAGTTGTCCCACAAAGTAAACTTTATTTGCAGCAAATAAGGAAATCACAGGAAATTGCTTTCAAAGCCAGACGAGAGAGAGAGAGAGAGAGAGAGAGAGAGAGAGAGAGAGAATGGGTTCCTTTTGTTTAGGGTTAGGAGGAATATTTAGATAGGAAGGCCTTGTCATCGTATGTAGAGGTGGGCGTAAGGTCATGCATGTACCTTAAGGAACCATGCCTATTCATACGTTGTATGTTATGTAAATGAGGCTCTTCCTTGGGAGGAGATTTTAGTATTATAATGAGGTAAAGGTCATTGCCAGTCATTCCAGAGGTCACTCCCCCCTCCATCTGAGCCAAAGTGAGTCCGGGAGTTTAGCTCAAACAGTCTCCATGATCTGGGAGGTGTTGTCAGGGCTGTAGCCATCCCCTGAGGGTGATTTTAGGTTCCCTTTGCCTGAGTGAAGAGGTAAGCTGGAAAGAAGAGCTTAAAGAAAAATGTAAAACAAAGGTTAGTGAGTATAAGCAGGTGGGCAGTGAAGGTCAGGTCTTGGGATCTAGCTGGTGACATTATCACATGGAGGAACCTTTCAAGGCTGGATAATGGAAGGGACAAATCAGTACTGATTGGGTGGTTTCCTGTGGCCAGCAAAATAATAGTAATCTCAATAGTACTAATAAAGTTTATTGAGCACTTTTACTGTGTGCCAGGCATTGTGCTAAGTGCTTTATAAACTTACCTTCCTTAATCCTAGTGACAACCATAATCCATTTCACAGATGGAGAAATAGAGGCTTGAAAAGGCTTCATAGAATACCTCAGGCCATCCAAGTGAGTCAAATAGTGGAGACAAGACTAAAATCCAGGTCTGTTTCCCTTCAAAGCTCACGTTCTTAACCACTGTGGATATGCTGCCTGGCAAGAATTATGTCTATAAAGAAAACTATGCCATTTAAAAATCAATATGTCTTTGGTAATACTTAGTGCCCACTAATGTTAATTGTATCCCTTTATAATGGAGTTCCAGGGGTACTGCCCCATTTTAAAGAATCTGAAAGAACATGGATCCATGAATATAGAGACTGGAAATTGAACAGTTCTGCTCAAGTGTCTCCATCTTGACTCCCTACTCCCATTTTAAGACACATGAGGCACTTTAAGGTTTTCAGAGAAGGGCATGCAGCAATATTTGCCAATTTTTAGTGCGGGCAGTGTGATCTGCTCCTTAAAAAGACATCTGTGTATTGGGTTTCAGGGCAAGGTACTATTTTCAGAATCCAGGTGGAATCTCACACAGTAAAACAATGCCAAGAGAAAAGGAAGGAAGACAAAAAGCTAAAGGAACACCCCTGCCCATCGTTCCAATTCTTCAAAAGTTCCTGAAAACATATGAGAAGCACTGCGCCCAGACGCAGACATCTGTGTGTCTAGCCATCAAACAGGACTTGAAAACCAGCATCAACAACGAACAGATTCTCAGGAAAGTGAGTGTGTGGCCTCCTTTGCTTATTCTTCTCTGAAGTGAACTAACTAGGGTTTAGCCCCGAGGAACGCGGGTCCTCAGACAAGGCGCTCTCTGCGTTCCTGCCTGCCTGAAGCCCAAAGCCTGCCTCTGGCCCTTGGGGCTCTGCTCAGCATCTCTACCTCCCTGCTCCTACCTCCGAATCTCCCCCTCCCAGTCCTTCCAGCAGGCCTGGCTTTTCTCACACCCTGCTTCACATCTGGAATAGCCAACCTGCCTCTCCCACTCTACCTCTAGAAAGCCCCGCTCAAAGCACCACTTTGGGCATCATTGCAGGACATCTGTGCCCAGCACGCCCGCCACCCCACGGGACCCCTCCATGCAAATGTTTGCTTCCCTTGACAGCTCCTGTGTCCGTGTCATCAGGCCAGACACCCCCCCCGCCCGCCGCTGCACTCACCCATGCTTCCCCCTCACTTGGAGCGAGGTCAGCAAACACAATTCTGACTCCCAAAGTACAGGATTTCAGAAAAAAAAAAAAATCAGATGTCATATCTTTTCTGAGATTAAATCTAGGGATCGCTTGTGAGGGCAAAGAAGAGAGGCCAGCACTGAAACTAAATGGTCTACTCTGGCAAAGGGGCACCTGCTAGTCCAGAAGGTGGGGCCTTGCCCCCAAGGGCAGACTGGCTGCTCTCCAGCTTTTCTATGGCCAGCCCAGAAAGACAGTTTGTGTTTTAATAACCAAACACCCACTGATTTTCTAAAATGCTGAGTGCTAAACAAGAGAATAAATTAATTAGAGATGGGTACTTAAAAATAATCATTATTCTGAGGTGATTTTGACCCAAATCCATCCTACCCGTATTTTTCCTGAATGTTTTTTGGGGATGGGAGGATGATTACATTGCACCCCACATAAAAAGAACCTCTGAAAGTCCTCCCTAACCATCTCTTTTGCCTAAACTTCCACTCCCCAGGGCAGCTGCCTCTCTCCTCTTGCCCCTTTGGTCTTTCCCTAGCCACCTCTCCTAGTCTCCTGTCCCCTCTGCCCTCCTGGGTCTTTCTATTTTTTTTTTTTAAAGATTTTATTTATTTATTTGACAGACAGAGATGCAGTGAGAGAGGGAACACAAGCAGGGGGAGTGGGAGAGGGAGAAGCAGGCTTCCCGTGGAGCAGGGAGCCCGATGGGGGGTTCGATCCCAGGACCCCGGGACCATGACCTGAGCCGAAGGCAGACGCTTAATGACTGAGCCACTCAGGCGCCCCTCCTACGTCTTTCTAATTCCTTCTCTTGTAGTTAGTTGCTTCTCTGGACTCCTCCATACATCTCCCTGCTCATAAGACTATACGGGCTGTTTATGTTGGGTGGGTTGCTTTGGTTGGGTCTCCATTTTGATTTTGAGCATCACTAAAATAAAAGTCTCATGAGACAATTATTTTTTACTGCATAGGATACACTCAGATAATTTTTCTTCTTTTCTATTTCATTAGAGAAAGAAAGAAAAAAGCTGGTTAAAACCTACTCACTTGATTTCCTGACCCAATAATGAGTAGTAACCTGATGGAAAAAATCTGTGCCCTATAAGATTGCCTTTGCATATGGCAAGAACTTCATAAGTTTGTATTGAATTACCTCCCCAATGCACATGTGATCCAAAGTTAATTACCTTTTCAAATGTTCTAATGTTGTCTGATGACATTATTCTTTCTCTACGCATACAGATGCATGGACATCTCTTTATGATTCCCACCTGTACTTTTTTTTTGACACTCCAGTTTATGCTTGTAAGACCTGAAGACTCCCCGACAAGCATCCTACCAATTTCCTTAGAACCTTTGCTCATGACAATTCGAGATGAGTGTTATATGCTGGGGAAAGAGATCTGTATCTGGAGCCTTCAACTGAGCAACCCAGAGATTGCCAGACTGGTAAGTCATGCATTTTAGAAGTGTTCCTTCAATTAAACTTAAAATTGAATATAAACATAATATGTATTCCAGCTGTAGTTCATTCGGTTGTTGACTGATATGCTCCAAGCTTTTCTTTTTTTAAAAAAAATGTATTTTTTAATGAAACATTTCAAAGTTATGTAAAAGTACAAAAAAACAATAAAGAAATTATGGTATATTCATATAGTAGAAAACTCTATGGGTGGCTCAGTTGGGTAAGCATCTGACTCTCGATTTCAGCTCAGGTCATGATCTCAGGGTCATGGGATGGAGCTCCACGTCGGGCTCCATGCTCAGTGCAGAGTCTGCTTGTCCCTCTCCCTCCCACTGCTTATGCTCTCTCTCCCTCTCTTAAATAAATAAATATAATCTTTAAAAAAAACTATATAGCAATGAAAATGCATCAACTATATAGCTATACAAAAATAAAATATGATGACTCATAAAAACATATAAGCAAAGAGAGACACAAAAGATTACATACCATATGTTGCATTTTACAAAGTAAAAAACAGGTAAAACTAATGTTTGATTATCATAAATTTACTTTTAGGGAAGAGGGAGGAGGTAGTAATTGGGAGAGGGCATTAGTGCCCATTTTTCTAGTTTCTTGCCTGTTTAAAAATCCCTTGTTTTATTTCATTGAATGTGTTAAACTTATTTTATAATCTGTGTCTAATAGTTTCAATAAACTAAATTATTTTGGAGTCTGATGTTACTGACTCTTGCTTCTGCTGGCTCTTACTCATGGAACATTGTGTGTTTTTGTGATTTCTTTTGTACTGTAAAATTTTATTTCCTAGGAAAATAGTTGAGGCAATTCCTTGAGATCTGATTTGAAGACAGCATTCTTTTTTTTTTTAAGATTTTATTTATTTATTTGTCAGAGAGAGAGGGTGCACGAGAGAGAGCACAAGCAGGGGGAGGGAGAGGGAGAAGCAGGCTCCCTGCTGAGCAAGGAGCCCAATGTGGGACTCAATCCCAGGACCCTGGGATCATGACTTGAGCCAAAGGCAGACACTTAACCGACTAAGCCACCCAGGCGCCCTGAAGATAGCATTCTCTGGGGAGGATTTGCATTTGCTTTGGCCTCACACTCAGGGTGCTACCATCTCGGGGCTATGTTAAATTAAATTCTTGATCTGAGGGCTCTTTGAACCATCCAGGTGGTATGAATTCAGGGTGCAATTACCTATGTTAAGACTAGCTTGTGAGTTCACAGGGGATATATATTTTTTTCCTGTGTACTCAGTCTCAGTCTCAGTTTGAGATAGTTTTCCCTGGGGAAGGGAGAGTTGGGTTTATTTCTAATTCATCCTTACTCTAAGGGCATAGTGCTATAGCTCATTTTGTTTTGAGCCACACCTGTATGCAATATTTTCTCTTAGACTCCTCACCTCCACTGATCTTGGGCTTTACTGTCCCCTGGACTGCAAGATCCATGAAAAGCACAACTCAATTCCCTGCTTTACCGGTGCTCTCAAAGGAAAAGCTGGCTTCAGTGCCCTGCAGACCACTCGAGGTTCCCACTTTCCCACATGCATTGATCTTTGGGTATTCCTCACTGTCCTGCCGATCAACACATTTTAAAAAGATATTTTTAAAACTCTTAAAAGAAAGCATAAAGGAAAAGCTTCATGATGTTGGATTTGGCAATGGTTTCTTATATAAGACAGTAAAAGCACAGGCAACAAAAGAAAAACTAGATGGTTTGGGCAACATCAAAATTTAAAACTTCTGTGCATCAAAAGACATACTCAATTAAGTGAACAGGCAACCCATAAAATAGGGGACAATAATTGCAAATCATATATTTGTTAAGGGGTTAATATCCAGGATACATAAAGAACTCCTACAATTCAACAACAACAAAAAACAAACAACCTAACTTAAAAATGGGCAAAGGACTTAAGTAAACATTCTCCAAAGAAGGTATACAAATGAATAATAAACACACAAAAGATGTTCAACATCAGTAATCTTTAGGGAAATGCAAATCAAAACTGCAATGAGATACTACCTCATGTCAACTAGTATGGCTACTACTATCAAAAAAAGCAGAGGGCACCTGGGTGGCTTAGTCGTTAAGCGTCTGCCTTCAGCTCAGGTCATGATTCCAGGGTCCTGGGATAGAGCTGCACATCGGGCTCCCTGCTCAGCGGGAAGCCTGCTTCTCCCTCTCCCAGTCCCCCTGCTTGTGTTCCCTCTGTCAAATAAATAAATAAAAATCTTAAAAAAAAAAAAAGCAGAAAATAATGTGTTGACAGGACGTGGAGAAATTGGAAAACCTGTGCACTATTGGTGGGAATATAAATTGGTGTAGCCACTATGGAAAACAGGATGGAAGTTCCTTAAAAAATTAAAAATAGAATTACCATATGATTCAGCAATTCCACTTCTGACCTACCCAAAAGAATTGAAAGCCAGATCTCAAAGAGATATTTGTACACTCATCTTCATGGTAGCATTATTCACAATAGCCAAAGGTGGAAGCAATCCAAATGTCCATTAACAGATGAGTAGAAAACAAAATGTGGGATATACATACAATAGAATGTTATTCAGCCTTTAACAGGAAGGAAGTTGTGACATATGCTACATGTATGAACCTTGAGGAACTTCTGCTAAGTAAGATAAGTCAATCACAAAAGGACAAATCCTCTATCATTGTATTATAGGAAGTACCTAGAGTAGTAAGACTCATAGAGAAAGAAAATAAAATGGCGGTTGCCAGACATTGTGGGGGAGGGGAGACTGGGAGTTATGTTTTCCTGGGTACAGAGTTTGAGTTTTACAAGATGAAAAAAGTTCTGGAGATGGATGGTGTTGAGGGTTGTACAACAGTGTGAATGCACTTAATGCCCCTGAACTGTGAACCTAAAAATGGTTAAGATGGCAAATTCTTTATGTGTATTTGACCACAATTCAAAATAAATTTTAAAAAGGTACCTTTAATGCATAACCAGAATTTGTAGTTGTTTTTATTAAAAGTGTCAGTCAGGGGGCACCTGGGTGGCTCAGATGGTTAAGCATCTGCCTTCGGCTCAGGTCATGATCCCAGGGTCCTGGGATCGAGCCCCGCATCGGGCTCCTGCCTCAGCAGGGAGCCTGCTTCTCCCTCTCCCTCTGCCTCTCTCCCTGCTCATGCTCTCTCTCTCTCTCTGTATCTCTGTGTCTCAAATCAATAAATAAAATCTTAAAAAAAAAAAAAGTGTCAGTCAGGGTACCCAGTCCATTTAAGCAGGCCGTAGAATGCTGTCCATGCATGTTAAAAGCGATCCTTAATAGTTCTTTAAAATGCAGCCCTCTTGGTCACCTGGAGGCTGTTAGGGAATTCTGTGGTCGATGGCTATAGTCTTGCCCGCAGCAGTGCTAGTGCCCCAGGGAATGACACTGCAAACCACTGGTTGAGATCCTTAGGACCTGGGTTGAGAGCCTGTTTTGCACAGACCAGCATTACCATAGGCAGTGACTTGCCACATTGCCTCCTCTGTCAGAAACACAGCTTGCAAGATCCAATCCAGCACTTGAACAAGGTGTTTTCTCATAAAAGAGACCTCAAACGCCAGCTCTGTAGTTAAGGCTGCAAGGGCTCTTATATTCTCAGCCAAGCTATAATTTGGAACCCTATCTCTGACCAACATGTCATTGCCTCAGGAAACCCTAAATCCTCCAAACCCCACCAAAGCCTCCTTTAGGTTTAAATTCTGAACTGAAGAAATCCTTAGGTTGTGGTAATTCTAATTGCTGAAAGGTGGCCTTTGTGATTTGTAGCTTTAAATACCTCCTCCTGTCAATGAGGTAGGGATTTAATTGTCACTGGAATCCTTTGTTACCACAAGAAATGACCTTGCCATAGATCCCTCCATTCAGGAGACTGAGAGAACCTGACATGGTTCCAAATGTTCGTGTATTGCCCCCAGTCCTGTGGCTTCACCATGAGAAACACCTCGTTGCTGAATTTGTATGGTCCAGTTCTTTTTTTTTTTTTTTTAAGATTTTAGTTTAGAGAGAGCGAGAGTATGTGAGCCAGGGGAGGGACAGAGGGAGAAGGAGAGAAGCAGACTCCCTGCTGAGCACAGAGCCTGACATGGGGCTTGATCCCAGGACCCCGAGACCATAACCTGAGCCAAAATCAAGAGTCTGATACTTAACCAAGTGAACCACCCATGCACCCCTGCCTGGCCTAGTTCTGAGCAGACCTCTATATCCTCTAAACCCTAATACCTGTAACAGTGAATATAAATTACTTAGGAGGTAATTTAACTATTATAATTGTTTTGCCTAGTTATACGAAAGTTGTCATGATGTTACTTCTCTATTGAAAAGAACACAACCCTAGGAGGATAAATTTGTGGGTTAGAATATCAACATCTGTGTTAGTCTGGGTGGGCTGCCATAACCTAGTACCACAGGTTACACGGTTTAAACAACAGAAATTTATTTCCTCACAGTTATAAAGGCTTGGAAGTCTGAGCTCAAGGTGTCAGCAAAGTTGGTGTCTTCTGGACCAGCCCCTAATAACATCTAAAAAGAGATGCTACAGTATATCTCATCTCATCTCATCTCATCATAAAGCTTGGTGTTTCCCATTTAATTCTTCACAGTCGTCCTTTTAAAGGGCAATTATTTATTTTTTCTTTTATTTTCATGCCACTTTCTCCTTGGGGGAATTAGAAAGTTGTCTCAAAGGTAAAACTGTTGAGGTAATGAACATAATGGGCTTTTAGATTACATGAAAACACAGAGCGTATTTGTCTCCCTTGCGTGAGCACGGTTTCACCTCACGTTCTTAGGCTTCACTTCTGGAGTTGAAGGGGCGTGCCGCCTGCCCATTTACCAGCCTGGAGCTCATTGACTGCAGGATGGATCTGTGGGCTCTCGGGAGACTCGGGAGGGCTCTGCCATGCAGCTGTCTGCGTTCCCTCGTCCTCGATTACTGCAGGTGAGGCTGGAATGCGGGGTTCCTTCAGGGCTCCTGCTGCTGTCTGCTGAGGGAGGCAAAGCAGGGAGGGCGGTGGCCTGGTTCCTTGTGCCTCATCAAGTCATCGCTGAAAGGGGACACTCCAAAACCTCCTTAGAGCTAATGTTCCTGAGTAAATGTCAGGGTTCTCAAAAAGAGGCTTTTTTCATTCATTTATCCATCCATCCTTCCCTTCCTTCCTCCCCTTCCTTCCTTCCTTTCTTTTTATTCATTTATTCTGTCAACAAATATTTGTCAATGGCCTGTTTGTGCAAGACACTGCTCTTTGCTAAGGAAGATACACATATATATAAGGCAATGCCACTGAGCAAGGAAGTCCTTGATACAGTAGAGGAGAGGCGACATGCTCTAGGTTACGTATAACGCAGGGTAGAAAGCCTGAATGTCACAAAAAATGTCCATGTAAATTTTAGTGGTTTGGATAAGGGGAACGATGATCCCCTACAGGACAGGCCATTATTCACCAGGAGCGGAGGTGGGAGGACAGGTGTGGTACTAGGGAAAAGAGCCAGTCTTTCAGAGAGGGCTGTGGCACCAGGCTGTCAGGGGAGGGTCAGGGGGTAATAATAATGATGATGATATCAGCTAATTGTTATTGAGTGCTAACTGTGTGTCAAGCACAGTGCATGGCTTATCTCATTTATTCTCCCAACCACAGAGAGATATGTACCATTACATACGGATGTAGGATAGATAATGACAGATATGTACCATTTCCATCCTTTGACTCTATATAGATGAGGAAAGACTCAAGGGGATTAACTGGCTTGTTCAAGGCCATTCACCTCTTAGGAATGTAACCTAGATGTGAATCCAGCCATCTGAATCCGAGCCCACTTCTGATCTGTGATACTAGATTGCTGGGGGCGTCTATAGTGTGCCATCCATAAATAATTTCAACCTGCTTGTGTGATGTGCGATAGGTCATGCAACCTCTCTGATCTATGAGATGATCTCTTCCACTTCTCAGGTCTTTGATTCTGAGACTCTTCCCCTGGAGCCTGGTGCTACCTTATACTCAGACGGCCAGTGGGCTGTGAGGTGAAAGAGCTGATTCATGCCTGAGAAGTGGTACCACCGCAACACAAAGACCCCATTAAGGAACTAGGGTCTTATGAGGGCCCTGGTTGTGACAGTGGACAATTCTATCACCAAAAAGCTGGGGAGAGGGACTGTCTCTGGAGGTTCTCTGTGTTTCTGAGGTGCTTGGAGGAGCCTCAGTTAGGGTTTCCTAACACAGAACAGCAGAAGTCCAGTGTCCTCAGGATACCCTGCAGTGACTTAGGATCAGCCTGGGAGTCTCCGAGCTTCCCACACTGCACTGGGCAGAACCAGCCCCCCTGCTGAGACCCTTCTGGACTCCAGCTCCTGCGCTGGACCCAGAGACCTGCACTGGCAGGAAGACAGAAGGAAGAAAAAAGGAATCCCCATTGTTAGGAAACAGCTTACTTTATTTTTTTTTTTTTAAGATTTTATTTATTTATTTGACAGAGAGAGAGAGCACAGCACGGGGAGGGGTAGGGGGAGAGGGACAAGCAGACTCCCCGCTGAGCAGGGAGCCTGACACGGGGCTCGATCCCAGGACTCTGAGATCATGACCTGAGCTAAAGGCAAATGCTTAACCGACTGAGCCACCCAGGCGCCCCCACAGCTTACTTTATTTTTAAAAGATTTTATTTATCTGTTTAGAGAGAGGGGGAGGGAGAGAGAGAATCTCCAGCAGACTCTGTGCTGAGCCAGGAGCCCAAAACAGGGCTCCATATCAGGACCCTGAGATCATGAGCTGAGCCAAAATCAAGAGTTGGATGCTTACCCGACGGAGCCACCCAGGTGCCCCAGGAAATAGCTTATGTTCATTATCTGTTGAAATCCTGCTATTGCCAAGACACCTAGAGTTGTCAGGGTTGGGTGGTTGGGAGTCACCACTGAGACCTCAACACTGGTAAAAGAGCAGGCTACCAGCCTCTGGGGACTTCCCTCCGCTTTTCGCTGTGAGGCTGTGAAGTCCAGTAGGCAGGACGCCCTTCTTTCTCATACACAGCTGCATCCCCACACCCACCACAGTAGCCGCCTTCGCTAGTCACCTGTTGGCTGAACTGGTAAATTTAAGAAGTTACTTCTGTTAATACGCACCTCATTTGAAAGTTCAGCCACTGACATTCCAAATTCCCTGAAGACATCCCTCTACCTCAATGTTGCTCAGTTTCCTGACCTAATGCCTAGCCCCAGAGGCTGTGTTGGCGTGATGTCTGCGACTTCTCTTTGCAAAGTCGAAGGACTAGGTGATACAAGGCGAGGAGCAGCCCAGGGCCAGGAAGGAGGGCCAAGAGGCTGAACTTCCCTGAAACCTGCTCTGGACGTACTTTAAAGGCTCCCTCCTTACGCAGCCTCCTACTGCTGGGGTCTTCCCAGACACTTTCATCCCCGCCAGCTGGGCAATCTTGCCTGTCTTCAGGATCCAGAGCTTGCTCTCTATCTGCTCCTTTGCATGGGTACTTCAAACCGTGCCCTGCTCCCTTTGCCCAGGAGGCAGATTCTGGGTCCCCCTTCCTCCACATGCAGGCTGCCCTCCTCAGTCACCCAGCTCACCCCCATAGCCTGCCCCGGCCGTGGAAGCTCATAGTATGGATCGGTAAAAATCTGAGCTGTCCTAGGGAGTCCCTTAAAATGAATAATCCAACAGGTGACATAGGTTTTAAAAGTCACTAATTTGTTCCTGTCATTTCTTTCTAGATTTGGAAGTGAAGAAATTGAGAGTATTTTCTCAGGCCTGGAGAACAACCAAAGGCTTCAAGCCCTCAGTCTGCGCTACTGTGGTCTGGGGCCACAGAGCGGGCCACGGCTGGGCGCCATCATATACCACAGCTCCATTTGGTGAGACGCATCCCCTGCTCGCCTCCTGCCTCTGGCTCTGTTCTGTCTTGAGTTATATAACCAGCTGAATTACAAAATCCATTAACCCATGATTTCCCCTGACTTTTCACTACATTGGTTATTTTGTTTTCTTTTTCTTAATTATAAGAGAAAGATCCTTTAGTTACATTTGAGAATCAAGGGTATTGTGCTATATGCATGTTTTTGGCCCGATGACATGGTCACTAGGTCTATTTTTTGCAATATGATCTGTTATCTATTATGATTATTTATTTATTAGTATATAACTATGTCTATTATTTTATGAGGTGAAGACCTCAAATCCAAATTTGCGGGAGTGAAAATAACATCGAATGTACGATGTATTTCACCCCTCCCCAGTGAGCTGCACCTTGACGGCAATTACTTACAGTGTTCTGGAGCTCTGACTCTCCTCAGACCTGTAGCCGAGTATGCAAAGACACAGGGGAGAGACCAGCCGGCCACATCCCCACCAGACCCCGGGAGTCCCCCTCAGCAGCTACAGGGTAAGTGCCGGGGACCTGGGCCCTACACTCTCTGGGGCTACCTGTAAACGGCTTTGCGTTTAAAAATGGCCTTCCCTGTGGTCAGTGGAAATTCTTCTTGCTGAGTATGAATGAGAGCAAAATAATGGACCCCCAGCAGTGTCTTTGTCCTAATCCTCAACCGGTGATTATATTACCTCACATGGCAAATGGAACTGTGCAGATATGATAAAATTAAGGGCTTTGAGATGGGGGTTTATCCTGGATTCTCTGGGTGGGTCCAGTGTCATCACAGGATCTTTGCAAGAGGGGGGCAGGAGGGTCAGAGCCAGAGAGATGAAGATGTGACCACGGAAGGAAAGGTTGGAGGGATGCGAGGAAGGGGCCAGCAGCCAAGGAATGTAGGTGGCCTCGAGGAGCTGGAAAGGGCAGGGCAAGGAATTCTTCCCCAGAGCCACTAAAAGACACACAGTCCACCAATGCCTTGACGGTGAGACCCATTTTGGACTTTGGACCTCCAGATCTGTAAGGTCATAGCCTTGTATTGTTTTAAGCGACTAAGTTTAAGGTCATTTGTTATAGCAGAAGCGGGGAACTAAGACAGCATGTTAATCAGAACTCTTCAGTTAAAAGTGAAAGCAACCGAAACAGAATTCAAGGTTAATAGGGGCTTATTGGCTCACATAACTGAGACGTCCACAGCTGTCTTCAGAGATAGCTGAATTCGGGACATCATATGATGTCATCAGGAGACCTTACTGCTCTTCACTCGACTTCCCTTCTGAGCGTGGGCCTTCTCTCCCAGGGCAGTCAGCCTTCCTCCAGGCAGGAGAGAGCAGTTGACACATCTGTCAGCAGTCCCAGGGCTATATCTTTGTGACTTCCAATCAGCCAGGAAGTGTGAGCCTCTGTCTCCCAGTGACTGTGGGTCAAATCCCCCGGGAAGGCTCTCACTGGCCCTCCCTGGGTCATATACATACCTCTCAGACCAGTCCCTACAGCCCCGGATGTGCTAAACCGCAATTGGCCAGGACTGATCACACACCCCACTGGGGGAGGAGTGGAGCATTCTGATGGGCAGCCAAACCAGAGCCCCATGATTTGCTGGGGAGCAAAGTGGCAGCCCCTCAAAGAAGTAAACCGAAGAGAAGGACAGATACAGGACAGACAAGAACAACAGCTGCTTACTCCCTTATAAAAGGCTTATCATTTGTTTTAATAGATCCCTAATACACATGTTTATGGCACATTTTAAAGCTGACTACTTTTAATCATTGTTAACAGAAACTATAGCAAGTGGCTAATAGCACAGACTTAGAATCAGGTCTGGGTTCAAATCCTACCCCAGCTGTGCATTAGGTTGGGCAAATTTTCAAATTGATCTAACTTTAGCTTCTTGAGCTACAAAATAAACGTAACTACCTCATAGTGTTTAGTGAGAAGGAAGTGGTGTAATGTGATGCAGTTAGCATGATGCCTGGCACATAGTAAGTACTTGAGGGACATTAATTATCATCATCACCATCGTCATTATTATTATAACAACAACCTTTTCCCAGAGAGTAAACTTGAGGCATGTGGGTGAACGCAGTCACTCTACTTGCTGGAAAAAATGAAGATAAAGAGCTCAAGGCCTGTGCAGCATGGGGACCACTGTGAAATATACTGTATTGTATATTTGGAAGTTGCAGAAGGGCGCCTGGCTGGCTCAGTTGCATGTGACTCTTGATCTCAGGGGTTGTAAGTTCGAGCCCCACATTGGGTGGAGAGATTACTTAAAAAATAAAATCTTCAAAAGAACAAGCTGCTGAGAGAGTAGATTTTTTTTTTAAATAATTTTTTATTGTTACGTTAATCACCATACATCATTAGTTTTTGATGTAGTGTTCCATGATTCATTGTCTGTGCATAACACCCAGTGCTCCATGCAGAACGTGCCCTCTTTAATACCCATCACCAGGCTAACCCATCCCCCCACCCCCCTCCCCTCTAGAACCCTCAGTTTGTTTTTTGAGAGAGTAGATCTTAAAAGTTCTCATCACAAGAAACAAAATTTGTGACCATGTGTTGTGATGGACGTTAACTAACTTACAGTGGTGAACATTTCACAATATATACAAATATCAAGTCATTATGTTGTACGCCTGAAACTAATATAATGTTACATGTTAATTTTATCTCAATAAAAAAAGGATTCACTGACTTGTGCTATTAAAAAAAAAGAGCTGAAGTCAAGGCTACTTTGTGGAAGTGAGTGCAAAGAACTTGTAACTATGAGAGATTCGTAAATAACAAGAGTTATCCTCCATTTAGGAACTTTCCTGGCATCAGAATTCTATAGGTTATTTGTTGAATTTGATATTTCAGTCAACCCCATAAATATACAAAAGGAAGCGGGAAAACAATGTTTGCTATCCAAATATGACTTTCCCTCTGCTCTTTCTATCACCAATTTGTAAAAAGCCACGGTCCTATTTATGAAGTCCTATATTGTAATTTCAGGACCAAAATAACCAAGTGAATCTCTGATTTTTAAGAAAAATAATTGGAGGGGTGCCTGGTTGGCTCAGTTGATTAAGCACCTGACTTCGGCTTAGGTCATGATCTCAGGGTCCTGGGATCAAGCCCCCGCCCCACACCGCCTTCAGCAGGGAGTCTGCTTGTCCCTCTGCCCCTCCCCCCACTTGTGTGTATGTGTGTGTGTGTGCGCGCGCATGCGCGCGCGCGCGTGCGCACACTCTCTCCTCTCTCAAATAAGTAAATCTTAAAAAAAAAAAAAAAAGAATTGGCAATAGAAAAGCAGTGTCTCAAGGGATTGGTATGTGGCAGGCAGGACCAGGTGTGAGGTATGGGATTGGAAAGACAAAGAAGTGACAAGGACGTGGGGAGGAAACGTGGAGGTCTCCTGTTCTGTTTGTTCTAAGTGCTTTCTGGCCAAAGGGGCATAAAAGCTTGATTTTAAGGGTTCTGGATTTGATTTCCTAGAGAGCCAAACAAGCGAGGGTCAGCGCCGACCTCAGCGAGCACCTGCCCTGTCATTCTTCACAGCCACCAGGGACAGGGTGGAAAAGCTGCTCCAGCTGGACTGGGCCCTGTGGTCAGTGGTCCTCACACACAACCTCTTTGAAGTTCCTCTCCTTATTCGTTCACTTGAACCTTGATTTTTAGGCAGGTCAGCTGGTACATTTTAGCTCTTCTGCATTCTTTTGGGTAACTGTATTAGTCTGCGCTGGCTGCCATAACAAAATAACATAGGCTGGGTGGCTTAAACAGATTTATTTTTGCGCAGTTCAGGAAGCTAGAAGTCCCAGATCAGAGTGCTAGCGGATTCTGTTCCTGGTGAGAGCTCTCTTTCTGGCTTGAAGAGGGCGCCCTCTTGCTGTGTCTTCACGTGGCCTTTCCTAGGTGTGTGTAAGCTCAGGGAGACAAAGATCCCTCTAATAAGAACACTAATCCTATCTGATCAGGGTCCCACCCTTATGACCTCCTGTAACCTTAGTTACTTCCTTATGGGCCCCATCTCTAAATACGGCCACGCTGGGGACTCAACATATGAATATTTGGGGAATACAAACATGTAGTCCATACTAGTAATATACATACCTGCACAGAGTAAAAGTACCTTCTATCTCAAAACTGGGTCGAGACACCTCTGCTCAGGCACAGGGCAGGGAGGCCTATTGGGAGGCTGTTGTCATCTAGTGAGAGATGATGGTGGGAGGTGAGAGGGGCAGTGGCAGAGGAGGTTAGGTGCCACATCTGTCCCATTTCCTGATGCTTGGGATGTGGGGTGCAAAGAAAGGAAAGGAAGGGTCTAGAATGACTCTAGAATGATAACATACTAATATCTATTTTAAAATTTGCCAAAAATGTGTTCCTCTCTGCTACATTCTTACAAATCTCAGAGATTTGGAACCACTTTTATAGAGGGCAGCTGTGGAATGTAGAGCATTTACATGAGGCCTTTTAGGACGCTACTTGGGGCCTACTTGGTTGCATGTGATCCTTAAGCCTTTGAAGAGAGAGCAACATGAAATAGACAGGACTGAACTGAAGCGAATGGGATTTGACAATGGGCCGGATAATCCTCTCATGAGAAATGTCTCTGCCCAAAGTGTACATAAAACGAAGGAAATAATCAATAGCAAAGTGTGTAAAACCCATTCATACAACTTTGAACAGGCTTTTTTTTCTTATCGTTTTCTTTTCCACACAGCCAAACAGAGGGGAAGTTCAACTTTGAACCAGATTACAAAGTCACCTGGAGCTCTAACAGGGAAAACTACTTCAGGGAAGGAGAGGCGGAAAAAAGGTATTTGGTTGTTGTGTCAGCTATATCCCTTCATCTCCCTTTATCTGTAAATCACTTCCTCCTTTCATGGGCTGTGTGTTCCCGCTACGACAGTAATTACCCCAAACAGAAAAACTATGGAGAGATAGAAGAGCCGGTGTCTTATGGTTTCCTATAAACCAAACACAGAACAGCTTAGCCATATCCACCAGAGGAATTTGTCTTTGGCACGTTCAGCAAGCCAAAATCGATTATGGGGTGTAAGCTGGTTTGGGAATATCTCTGCAGTAAACAGCCAGCGGGACCTGATAAATGCCGCTTTAGAGACTTCTCTCCTACCCTCACTGCTTAGACTCAGAAACAGAGTCCTTTAGAGGCAATTTTAAGAAATCACCAACACCAAAACCTCTGAGCAGGATTAAATGAAATGAGAAGCTATCCAAATCTATTTTTTTTTCTAAATAGTTATTTAAGTAATCTCTACACCAATGTGAGGGCTCGAACTCACGACCCTGAGATCCAGAGTTTCACGCTCCTCTGACTGAGCCAGCCAGATGCCCCGAGAAGCTATCCAAGTCTTAAAGGTTTAGAGCCAAGTGTTAGGGAAGCCAGGTTCTCCGCCCAGCACTTGCCCCGGGGGCCCGTTGCCTCAGCATCCTATTCTGCAAATCGAGGAATTTGCGCTCACAGCTTCCTAAATCCCACTCCAGCTTTAACATGTTGAGGTTAGGGCGCCTGGGTGGCTCAGTCGTTAAGCGTCTGCCTTCGGCTCAGGTCATGATCCCGGGGTTCTGGGATCGAGCCCCGCATCGGGCTCCCTGCTCAGAGGGAAACCTGCTTCTCCCTCTCCCACTCCCCCTGCTTGTGTTCCCTCTCTCGCTGTGTCTGTCTCTGTCAAATAAATAAATAAATAAGATCTTTTAAAAAAAACATGTTGAGGTTATAAAGACACAGCACAAGATGATCATTAGATGTGTCATGAACACAGCCTTTGGAGAACCCTTTGTGGAGGCTAACCTAAATTTGTGTTGTTTTTTTTAGTCCATTTTATTTACTTTTCTCTGTACAACTCGTGTGTGAAAGGTGACAGGCCCTTGTGATGTAGCTCTTTACCCTTTGCCTTTTTCTTCCTCAATTTTAATCTGTTTTTGTGTGGTGTGGTCTTTTTCCTGCCCTTGAATTATCCTTGTATCTCCTCTGTGAAATCTCTCTGAATTAGATAAATACAGATTCCTATGATCTAAAAAGCCAACTGAAAATGTAAAGGGAGACAATTTATCAGACCTGTCTCTGTCGTCTGGTATAAATACAGTCTTTCCACTGGATAGTGCTAGTAGATTTTGGAAAATCTACTAAAAGAAAAAAAAAGAACTGTGCTAGGTTTATCATTTGTTTTAGACAGTTACCGTTTGGGGATATTTTCAACCAAAAGTCCTTTCAGAGGAGTTGGTTGGGGTTCCTGTGGGGAGAAGGATGATCAGTGTCTCCAAGGCAGGTGGCTGTCCAGAGGACAGTCCTTAAAATGGGCCAGATGACATCTGAGGGCAGAGGACTGCTGGGTCACTAATCCTAACTCTGCATTAGACCTAAGAGCAAGTGGTAAGTAGGACAAAGACTGAATGTGTGCATCATTCTGTGTGGGTAACTTGGCATTGCAGGAAGACCAAAAGGCCAAAATCTGTCTGGGAACTTCAAGGCTTCTCAAGGCTGGAGAGAAGCTCTGGACACTATTTGTTGAGTCTCCCTGATTAAAAGAAAAAAAAAAATTAATGGCAAAGAAAATTAAAGAAATTGCATAATACTTTAAGTCGTTCTGTTTAACAAGCTAACACTTCTAATACATACAAAAACACAGAATGCATGCACAGCTTCAGTAGGCAATGACAGCAGAGTCTGAATGTAGTCGTGAATGACTCCACCTGTGTGCTACCCCCCCCCCCCCATGTAGGCCCTGGAGATGTTAAACCCCCATAGAAGGTAGATAGTTTGGGAAAAGTCAAAAAGAGAACAGTACAACTGTTCATCCTTCAGCTTTTAAATAATAGCCATGTTGAGGCCTAGGTCCCAATAATACCTTTCAGCTGTTAAAACCCGGCACAAAAAATATCAGACTTGCGTCTTTTGACCTTCAACAACAGAAGTACGTTGTGTCACAGTCCTGGACCCTGGAAGTCAAGATCAAGATGTTGGCAGGGTTGGTTCCTTCTGGAGGTTCTGAGGGACAATCTGTTCCTTGTCTCTCTCCTAGCTTTTGGTGGTGGTTCCTGGCTTAGAGATGCATCACCCGGACCTTTGGCTTCATGTTCCCCAGGCATTCTCCCTGTGTGCGTCTGTGTCTAATTTTTCCCTTTTTATAAGGACATCAGTCATACTGGATTAGGGGCCCAGTCTAGGCCAGTATGACCTCATCTTAACTAATCACATGTGCCATGACCTTATTTCCAAATAAGGTCACATTCGGAAGAACTGGGAGTTAGGACTTCAACACAGGAATTTTGGGAGGGAACACAATTCAACTCAACGAGGGGGCTCAGAATGTAGTTTATAAACAGGACGCACACCTAGGAAAAGAAATAGCCACACAAGGCAGCATCTGCCAAGGGCCAAACATGGACACTGGGTTCCGAGAAAGGCATCCTTCCGCAAGGATGGAACCGGGGCGAAGGCTCTGTGAATGAGCTAGGAGTTGACGTGTGGGGAGAAAGGACTTACAGGTGGAAGGATTTAAGAGAGGAGAGAGGGCTTAACAATGCAAGCCCACGAGCCTACCAAGGTTAGCTGGAACCAGAGGATGTGGGAGGGTAGGCCTGGCAAAGAGGGTGGGTCACATTAAGGAAGACTTTGTAAGTCAGGCCAAGAGTTGGGACTTAATCCAATAGGCAATGGGAGCCATTAAAGTCTTTTTTGTCTCCCCAGGGATCCTGTAGGAAAAGCCTGTATCTAATACATACTTATTTTATAGCTTATTGTCAGAGCAGACCATTTTCATGCTTTCCAGGATTCACAAAGCAGGTCAAACAAACAAACAAACAAACAGCTTCCCATACTGGATAATTATTTTCACAATCAGAAGGTGTTTGGTTGGGGGTGAGTTTGGTTTTTGGTAGAAAAGTTCTACTTGTTTCAAAATAAAGGGTCAGATTGAGCTGATTTATATCAACCTCTTGAGGGTGGAGTGCAGATGGTTTCCATTTGGTCCCAATTGGAAACAGCCAAACTATTTTTATGCTTGTCCCTTTGTGGACAGGAGGCTTTGGCCTGATGCTTGGAAAGTTCAACTCATAATACTGTATGAGTCAAAACCCCCATTCAGAAGCCTGACACCCTTTATTATTCTTCCTCAAATGTACAATTACAAAAACCTGACAATTTTACATTTAGCAACCAGTTGTAAGTGGATAGAAGAGACGTATTCCATTTCGATGCCTACAGAATTTAGACATCAGTTTGTCCAAGTCAGTCCTGCCTCAAAGCAGCACTGAACATGAAGATTCATTAGATCAGTGGTTCTCAAACACGAGCAGCAGCAGAAACACCCAGAAGGCTTATTAAAGTGCAGATTGCTGGGCCCTGCCCCACAGACTGCTGGATCTATAGGTGGAGGTGAGGCTGGAAAGCTTGCATTTCTATCAAGTGCCCCAGGGATGTTGATGCTCTTAGCCCAGTGTCCACACTTTGAGAACCACTGCTTTAGAATTAAAAGAAAATCAGATTATCTACTCTTGTTTTATTTTGCTCAGTGAAGAAAATTAGAGGGCAGAGTGATGCTCCTAGATGCCTCTTCTCTGTGAGGAAGACCACAGAACAGAGGGGGCACAGGCCTGAGTCTGCCTCTAGCTTCTCTGTCTCTTCCAGATCCAGTCCGGCCCATGTCTGCGCCCCATGGCTCTGTACGAGGAGTCCGTGGGAATTGGGGACCCTGGGTCTAGAGGGTGATTAACACTCAAGAGAGGAGGTCTGGCCTGGCCGATGCCTAGTCACAAGCCTATCAGGCCCATAAAGAGCCGGAAGATAGCTTAACACTGGAGGTCACTGCAAGGTCATCAGGAATAGTCATCTGCAGCTTCCCTGAGCCCCATTCAGCCAGTCCTGCCATGTCACCTCAAGGCCCCAAAAGTTCCTGAAAGACTCAGCAAGGACTCAGGCATGTCCTGTCACCTGGGCCTACTCTGTTCCCGGCCCAAATTCCACACCATAGTTCCTAGGATTGTCTTAATTCTCAAGGATTTAGGACTGGGAGGGCCAGTATATGACTTAGACATATATTGGGAGCAAAATCCAACCATAAAATGGTCAGTCCACAAGCTTGGGATCAATCAGACCTTTGCTACGGCACCAAAGCCACCCAAGTGCCAAATTCACTTCCCCAAATAAGGCATTAATTGCTTGTAACACAGCCATGGTCCATAGGAATATTATGGCATTAAAGAATGCAAGGGTCGAGTTCAAAAGACAAGATGTAATCTTCAAAACAGCTTTATTAGTTCCAAATCAGGAAGTTACCGATTATAATCCTGAGATTATTTTACTTGGGGATTTTATCCTGGAGTGATAGCCAAACAATGGACCTTTGTGGACAGGTCCCAAGGTCCAAGGTGTGAATCATCCAACACTAATTACACTTTGCTTCCTTTAGTCCTGCAATCAAGCTAACAGAGTTTCTGTTCTGGTTTATAAATGTCTGGTAATTACACAGGAAATCACACATATTCCTTGTTGATGGAAAGAAGCTATTTTGAACAAGTGTTTTTGGTTTTTTAAAATTTACTTATTTGAGAGAGAGAGAGTGTGCATGTGAGCACGTGCAGGGGGGAGGGGCAGAAGGAGAAGGAAAAGCAGACTCCCGGCTGAGCAGGGAGCCCGACCTGGGACTCGATCCTAGGACCCGGGGATCATGACCTGAGCCGAAGCAGACACTTAACCGACCTAGCCACCCAGGGGCCCTGAGCAAATGTTTTTAAAAAAATCAACCTTATTAAGAAGAAGGTCCTACCAGGACCTGGCATCCACAGTTGGACATTTGAGTAGTCCTTAAGCAAAATAATCTGATGTCCAACAGAATGTGTGATGTCCACCTGTTCTGGTGGTCCCAGGAGAGGCCAGAAAGTGAGGGAGAAGATGAGGAACCTCTCCGGAGGAACTTCTGGTTCCGTGAAAATTTAAACCTGGCCTATGAGT